GGAGCTGGAGTGTACTGTCAGACATACTGTTATGGTACATCTAGGTGGCAGCACTGATAGCTGCCTGGCTCTGAGGCCTGGCCCCTGAGCAACCTACCCACACCTCAGCTTCCTACCCTCCAGGTAACAGGCATGATACCAACTATCTCCCAGGGCTTTGTGGCAATGAAAACCAAAGCCACAGGTCATACTCATCTACTCCACTGTCCCAGCCCAATATCCGGTCCATGCTAAATCAAGTCTGTCCTGCCCCAAACTACATCTCACATCTGTCCACTTCTTCATGTCACCCCTGACATGGTGACAGCATTAGCTCTTACCTGGTTTATGTCCAGAGCCTCTTAGAGGCCCTTTGCTTCTTCTCTCACCTACCTAAGTGGCCCTCCATGGACCAGCTCATCCCCCACAGCTACCATGCTGGCTTCTACAAAGCAGAAATAGGACCACTTAGCCACTTGCTTCAAACCCTCTGATGATTTCCCACCACACTTGGACCGAAGCCCAACTTCCTCCCCAGGGCCTACAAGCTGGTGAATCTGGTCCTTCCCCATCAACTTCTCCATACTCACCATTCCCACCAGCTGCCATGTTCACTACACTTCTACCAGCTCACACCTTTTCTCAGGGCCTTTGCACCTCCAGGTCCCTCTGATGGAACTGCTCTTTCTTCTCTTTCTGATCAAGTTCTCTCACCCCCATCTCAGCTCAAAGGGAGCTTTTTGAGCAAAGCTGCTGCTGGGTCTCTTGTGTGAATGCACTTCCCAGTGCTCTCAGGTACTGTGTCCTATCATCCTGTCCTTCTCCTTTGCATCATCTCTGTGTCAGTGATGGCCCTGTTCCTCTATGCCTGTTGGTTCACTGACTGTTCCTTGTAGAAGCAGTGCAACTTCCCAGGAGCAGGGGCTATGCCTGGCTTCCCATGTTAGCTGGCCCCATGCATGGATGCAGGGTGACCTGGCAGTCTCAGAGCCCACAAATTACAGTGCAACTGGTGAGCACGATTGCGAGAAGGAAAATCAGTGCTAGGGAGTCCCCATCATGTTGGCGCCCTTTCCCACAGGCGTGAGGATTTGTTGGTTTATAGTAGTTGTTTATTTATTTTTTGCTCATCCACAAGCAAATGTCAACATGAGCCTAAGCTAAGTGGTTAGAGGACTTTCACTCTGTTAGAAAACTTTCAAATCTTAGTAACAAGCTGTGAGTTCCGTCGCATGCTATTTCACTGAACTTCAGAGCTGTAGCTGTTAAACTTTTTGGACTTAGGAATCTTTCATGTTCCTAGGAACTACTGAGAACCCCAAAGAGCTATTATCTAGATTATATCTATTAATGTTTATCATACTGGAAATAATCAGAAGTTTAAAATAGTTGTTTATTAATTCATTTAAAACCAAAATAACTCATATATTATGCAATATAAAGACAGCAATATAGTTTTAATGAAATTACTACGTTTCCCAAAACAATTTTTTGACAAGACTGGTGTTTTACATTTTTCCAGTGTTGTTATCTAGTGTAAGTCAAGACAGCTGGAATTTCTCATTTGCCTCTGCATTCAGATAGTTGGGAGACTACATCCTGTAGCCTCTAGAAAACTCCACTGTTCTATGTACTCCTCAGAGAATGAGAAAAAGTATGCCTTGTCTTTGTTATGAAAAGGATTTTGACCTTACAGGTCCCCAGAAACAAGTGTCCATTGGCCCCCAAGTCTGTCTGGGCCACACCCTGACAGGTGGTTGTCCTGCAAGGAGACTTCAGTGAATAAGCGTCTCCCAGCCTCATGCTTATGGGTGAAACAGGAATGAAGAGGATTCCAAGACAAATTCCGTGTGTGATCACTTTCTACACTTGTGACTAACCTGTCATTTGGAGTCAATGGAAAATACTCATGTCCTAAAACAAGACTTAGCAAAGTGATTACCCACAGGAAAATTACCATAAACTTGGGCAAGGTGTCTAGCTCATTTAGAATGCTGTCTCATTTTCAAAATGCTGTTTGCACTGAGTCTGTAAGAAACACGACAGAAGGATTAGGAGAAAAAGAGGTTCACCTGAATGATGACACACACCATGACAGTTAGTAACACTGATCCAAGAGCAGTGTGAGGGCACAGAAAGTCTATTAGCAACAGGAAGTTATCTGTAACCAAACTGTTTTTGAGAGAACAGCTGTCCCAGGAAAAATGAAGAATTAGCGGCTGCACAAAGGCACTCATTGTTTGATGAAGATGCTTTAAGTTCTTTTCCAAATTAGTAATCACATCATCTGAAAGTGCCTAATAAGCTTGCCAGAGCACAAGGCACTTTTCTCAGATGCTCTGTACCATCAGACGCCTGCCTCTTCCTGCCTCCATGGAAATTAAAAATAAAGTGCAAAGAAGGGTCACCGAAGAACATACAACAAGTCAAAAAGAAGAGGCACAGAAGAAAGGGCTGAAGGTGACCAGGGAATATCCTTAATAACCATTCTTTGGGCTTCCATAAGCCATCAGGGATGCTGCCAGAAGTCTGCTGATGTCAACACAAAGTTACCTTCGCTTAATTGCTGAATAAGCTATCTACTTCAAGTATATTATTTTCAGCATACTGTTACCTGAAATATGATCTTGTTTTCCCCAGTGTATGAGGAACACAGGTCTCATCAAACTACAAACTTCCAGCTGAGCTGTATGGGCTTCTGGGAAGAGCTGTGAAGAAAAGTGGGCCAAAAGGGCCAAGGAGGCAAACGAGTCCATCTGGAGCAGTGGTGCCAGCAATGCTACCTTGAGCAGCACTAGTGAGGCAAAGGACAGACTCCTCCCCCAGATCTCCTGGCTGGCATGGTGGCGCCAGCTGGCTCTGACTCCTCAGGTTCTTTTTGACCTCCCTCTGGATCACACTGGCGCATAACCCCTCCTAGACTCCCCCTTAACTCTACCCTCCCGAGACCTGCACTGTGGTGTCGGCAGCACTTAAGTAATGAGGTTCTTCATGCCTCCACATCTGTGTGTGCTGTACCCTGTGCCTGGAAGGCTCAACGCCACAGCCCATTTGCAACCAGCCCCCAAGATTTCAGCTCCTCTGCCCAGTAGCAGGAACCGCTCCTGGTGCGCCCTGCACTTCCATGTGCCTCCTGTGGTAGGGATCACATTGTGAGGTCACTGTGTCTGCATCACTCTCCTCCTCCAGAGTTAGAACCAGGCCTCATTCAGCTATGGATGAGCACTGACCCATTCTGGTGAGGATGTTTAATAAATCGCTGATGCATAAGACCAGCACCAGGTATTTGCTGAGGGCTGGTACATACCTGGTGGTTTTCTAGACTCTGTGATAAGTGGCTAAATGTGTAATGGTGTCCAACCTGCACAAAGAATCTGTTCCCAAAGGGCCAAACCCATAAACCTGGCAAAAGCATTTTTCCTGCCTTCAGTAGGACAAGTATTCCTATAAGTCTCTTATACTTACCATGCCCAGAAATTCTGAATAACAATCTATTGAGGAAATGCTTTCGTGGCTTCTAGTTAACTCCCACTACATCAAGGTGACTTTTTGATGGCTTATCTGAATCATACTTAGTGGCCCCTGGTTCTTGAAGAGGAGGAAGAGGCTGTTACAAAACCAAGTGTGGATGAAAACCGTGTCATCACAGCAAAGAAAAAAGCAACTTCAAAGATGTGAGAAAACATAAAAAAGTCAGGTAACTTGAAAAACTACATAATCGCAGCTATTGGTGTGGTTTGAGTTCTGAAAGATCTATAAGCTCAGAACAACTGCACAGGCCTTCATATCTTATTTTGAAAAACGAAAGGATATTTTTTCTTTGCCAATTGATCGAGGGGCCGCTGTCTCCAGAGCATTTTCCCTGGACCCCAGGTATCTGATGGACACATTGCTGGCTACCTGCATGGGAAGTGATTTGAGAGGAGGTCTGTGCCATGCCCGGCAAGGAGGGGGCTAAAGCAAGAAGCAGGCAACCTGCTGTGCACATGCCAAGACTGCGCCAGATGCCAGGCAGGAGCGCAAGCATCTCTCTAAGGCTCATGCAGCAGACCATGAGACAAGCTGCTGGACGAGAATGTGGAAAGAGCAAGAGGCATCACCAATGGAGCAGCCAGAACACAGGTATCTGTGTCCTTGGCAGTGTCAGGAAAGAGATCCAAGGGCCCAAACTTCAACAAAAAAATCCGAGTTTTCTCATAGGCTTCATACCTCGAGGATGCCCCTGTGAGGTGCCTTTACTCCTTGAGTCCCACAGCACCCCGTGTGTCCTTGATGGGGCCAGCACCTTCTCATCTCAGGTGACAAATGGGTGTACCCATTTACCTAATTAGATTTGAAGTTCCTGAACATGGATTCTTAAGTCTTGGAACAACTTTGGAACCCCAAAATGCCTGCTGTAACCTCCAGCCCCAAGAAGCCCTCACTTCCTGTGTGGGATTAACAGGGGTGTGTTCCTTGCTGACATAAGGGTGTGCACATTGACTGTGGTGTGAGCATATGAATGGAGTAGGGACATACCATGGGTGGACTCAGTCACATCCGACAGATCCACCTATAGTGTGGAGAGTTCAGAGCCTCTCAGGAACTGGGTTTGCCTTACAGTGGGGCGACCAGCCCACTCCAGGGTTGTGAGGAGGGCTTATTAAAGGAGATAAATCTGTGTGATATAATAAAGCAAAAGTGATAAACTTGAGAGATTAAGAAGTCCTTCCAGAATGTTCTGGTGCAAGGGGCAGCAACCTTTTACCATAAGGGGCAGAGAGTAAATTTTTGACATTTTGTGGGCAAAGAAGCAAAGTAATAACATTATGGAGACGTTTTTGGGTGATGTTTCTGAGACAGAGTCTCATTATGTAGTTTAGGCTGGTCTTGAACTCACTACGTAGCTCAGGCTGGCCTCAAACTCACAGTGATTCTCCTGCCTCAATCTCCTAGAACTACAGCTGTGTGCCACCATGCCCAGCATAGAGGTATTTTTATAACAAACATTTAAAATTACAAAATATGTTCATGGTTTGCAGGCCCTAAACCAAGACATGATGTGTGCTGGATTGGCCTGTGGACACTATTGTGCCAACAAGACCATCAGAGACTGAGCAAAGGTACTTCGGCATTCACTGACGATATGATGGGGTGATAACTGACTCCTCTCATCCTCACTTTACCCAGAAGGGAAGTGAGGCTCAGTAATTTAATCAAGAACACACAGCATGCCGAGATGAGATCAGAATTTGGGCTGTGTAACCCCAAAGCAGGTAAGACCTAGCATCTTCATTAGGAATGCTGATGAATGCAGGCAGGCTTTAAAAGCTGGCTTGTTAGGGAAAGGCAGGAGCTGCTAAAGAAAACAGCTGAAGCAACACAGTGTACTCATGATATCCTGATCAGCACACACAGACCATGAACAGCTGACTTCACCCATGGGACCAGGCATGGCTTGTGGAACCTTTGGTGTGGCTCTGTCTCCTGCTGGATGTACTTCTCCCTTTTCACATTTACAGCCACCACATTGTCTGGCCCACAAGAATCCTTGCCATGTCTCGGGGACATGCAGTGTCTCACATCTGCCTGGGTCTCTGCCCATGTGAATGTGAAGGGGACATCAAAGGCTATAATTGGACTGGCACGTGGGGGTGACAGACAGTGGGTCTGTGACCCCAGACAGCATCGCCACCCTGGTACTTATTGCAGGCCTGTGGACATCTTATGGACCTGCTTCAATTGTTGGACATGAAATTTCAGCTGACAGCAAGAAAGGAGATTCAAACCTGCAGTCCAGGCAAGAGAGATGGAAGAAAGGGAGCCAAGTAAATACTGGATGCAAAAGAGAAGAGGGGATGACCACAGAGGGTGTCAGGACAGAACCTGCAGGAATTCAGACAGAGGTACATGCATCCCTTACAGTCCTGGATGATTTAAACCGGGCCTAGCTGAGAGGGGAGAAAGCTCTGAGGAAGATGGAAAGCAAAGGACCAGATGAAGAGAATGCAGGAAGAAGAAGGGGGAGAGGTTTGGAGTTGGAACTGGGGGGAACATATGAAAACAGCACCAAATGTATTGCTGAAACTTCAGAGGACAAAGCATCCTGCAACAACTACAAACAGCCAAACATTACAAAACCCTGAGGGAGAGATGAACTCATTTCATTACCTTAAAAAAATTAAGCTAGAGGTTTCAAATTGGATGCTGGACCAGTTGTAGCATCTTTGAAACTCAAAAGTAAGTGGTAATTCAGAAAATCAGGAGCATTTAAAAATCAGCAGCAGTCACCTAAAATATAAGGTTTCTATTTTGTTTGGTTTTAAACATCTTTTGATAAATTGCTAAGATTTGTTATATAGAACTATGCATTCCCTTGTGATAAAAATGAGCAGAAGCACAAAGGGGAAGGGGAAGAGAGAGGGTAGGGGAAAGGAAAGAAGGGAAAGAAATAAATATGAGAAAAGGAAAAAATAGAAACAAAGTCTTTGTAAATAGGGAGGGGTGGAAGGGTTGAAGGGAGGGCAGGGGAATGGGGGAAAACTAAGAACCAAGATGGATTATGTAAAGGTACAAACTCCCAATAATGAATGTTGGCATATTGTATACCTAAAATGTACCAATAAAATTAGTGAAAAAAAATGAGCAGGGGGAGGGGAAAGCTGTCCCTTGCACATGGGGTGTGTGGGCCCCATTCCCACAGCTCTCCCAGGCCCCTCACAGGACAGGTGAAGCTAAGTGTGCCACAGACCCAGGTCCCTGCGGAGGTGGTTACACATACAGTGTTAAATAAAAGAGCCTCAGTATAAGGCCACAAGTGGAGACTGCAGTTCAGCCTTCTCAGACCACCTCCCTCCTCCAGCGGGGGAGGCTGTGTCTGCTGTGAGCTCACTCCATGAGGGGGCGTGGGAATCAGGCTGCTCCCAGCCTCACTCCACCAAAGGCCCGGGGTGGCAGGAGAACAGCAGCAGTGATGTTTGTGACATGGGTGGAAAAAAAGCTTCACCTCATACCTTCCACCTTCACTGCTCATTAATCACCTACCAGGAGCCGGGCACTGCCATTTAGTGGCAAAGGAAGCACACAACCCCTGCCCTCAAGGAGCAGCCACCTGCCACCACCACAGGGCACCAGCCATTCCAGCCAAGTCCCCCCATGGCTTCCCAGTTGCCACACTCCAACCATCCCTCAGTCCTCAGCCCAATGACATTTCAGCAGCAACTTTCCAATGGGGCCTTGTCATTTCCCTATTTGTACATTTCAAACATCCAGCCATAGGGAGCCACCTTGATCTTTCACAAATGGTCTGTACTACTATTTACATAGCATCTTTCTTTAAAGCTACTTATCTGTGTTACTTAAATATACCTTTAAAATAAAATTCCTATTTCAAATAGGAAATCAATATTACTTGCTATGAATGAAAAATTACTATGAAAATAATCATATGGATTTCAAAATAAAAGACTCACTCCATACCCCACAATTCTGATACCCATCATGTTTATCACATTTGGAATGAATGTCCACTTGGCACTGAATTTCAGCCTCACTGGGACCTTTCCCCCATTTGGCCAGCCTTCTCTGTCTAGCTTCCACACCCAGTACTTGGAGCTGCTTTCTGATGGACCACCCCATTTCTTTTGTTCCATCGTGCATTCACTGACCCTGTTAGTGCTACGTGAACTATCCTCCACACAGGCCTTTGCTTGATGAAATTGGAACTCCCATCATCCAAAGCCCATGTATATGAAAGCCCACTCCATCAACACTGATCTCCAACTTCCAGCTGCTTGGCCAGAGCACCTGCTGCACTCTGCACTGTGCCAGCTTTTTGGGACGTGCCTGTCCATTCTCTTAGTCATTTAATTCACATGGGCAAAGTTACATATGGGTTGGGGAATACCATAGTGACTGTGACCATCCCTTCCCTTCTAAGAGGAAAGCTACAAGTTCCTGAAGACTGAAATCTCACAGTAGTTTATGACAAATTAATAGCTTCATTACAGTGATTAATCAATAAGCAGGTACTACTCATGATACCAGCTGAGGGAATGTACAAAAACTGCAACGACTTGTGTATATACACCAGGAGCTTAGCGCTTCTGTAAAGGGGGAAAGAAGTCCGAGAGAGAGCAGGGTGAGGACGGTGTCTCGAAGTAAGCCCACTTGAGACAACTACCAGCAGAACTCCGGGGGAGTTTGACATGGTGACGGTTGCAAGATTCAGAGAATTTGGACATAGAGTGAACGATATCCAGGCTGGATCCACATGTGAGGAGTATCAAAAGGACAACTTCTTGATGAGAAGTGGAGCTGAGAGACTGGGCTGTGGTGCTTAGGAAAGATTAAGTCCATAAGAACAACAGTCTTACAGGTGGATGACAGATGAGGCAGAAGTGATGGCTGAGGAAGAGGCCTGTGACTGTTGGGTGCACAGACTGAATGTGTGGGGAAGACAGAAAATGGTGAGAGGGTGGCACTAGGGCAGAGCCAGGAGAGCCCAAATTGGAACCCAAGGGAAAAGTGGATCATTTGGCAGCATTTCGTTTTCTTTCTTGGCCAGACTCTAGGACATGGCCTCACAGCAGAGAGTCCTTTCTAGCAGCCTGTAATGGAGTCTTTGGCTACTTGGCTGTATATGTCTGAAGGAATTTGGAAAGCAGGAGATGCATGCATGGGATGGATGACTTGGGCACTAAAGGAAGCTAGTTCAATATTTTAAAATGACTCAGAAGAGAAACAAGTAGCAATGAAGGAGTTACTCAAGAAAAAAAAAACATTGCAAAGTGAATCTTCATCATTCACTTGTACCTATAAGGTTCATGTGCTACCAAGTCTGAAATTACTTATCAAGCTTCTACCCTGGATTTACTCTCTATATAAAACAGCACTTGAGAGAATAAGTACGCAAACACCATTATGACCAATGGTTTGTTTTAAGAGAAAAATGCTTCCACAAATGGCAATACTAATTTTTTAACATTCTCTGGGAAAATATAAAAACTTGATATACTTGACAGCCAGATAAGAACTATTGACATTGTACTTAATCTTTAAAACATATATACTTGTGTCCAAAAGCTAATAAAGTTCCCTCTACTATAAATGGAGGGAAGTAAAACACTAGATCACTAGTAACACATTCACTTAGGATTCTGGTCTTATGGCCAAAGCCCAGGGGCAAGGAAAATTGAAGTGATTTAAAATAGTCCCTCATAGGATATATCTGATATTAGTGAGCTTGCTGAAGTGAAACAGTAATATCTGAGAGATACAAAGGTGTAAAAGCCATTAATGTGCGTCCAAATGTTTCCATGCCTTGACCTCTACATCTTTCAGGTGATCTGCCCATAGGGGCAGGCAGAAGTGTGCTAGGTAACATCAACTAGAAAGCTGATAAGTGAGTGCTCTGAAACCACCACTTATTTTTTGGAATGAACTAAGGAAAATTAACAGCTTATTTCATTGTACACCTCTCACAGCAGAGGTGCCCTGTCAGCACTCTGGATTCTGCCCACCTCTTTCTCTGTCTGCCTGCCCTATGACCCACCTTGGGGTGAGGCACTGTGCTGAGAAAGGAACAGAGTTACATAGACAGTGACTGCTCCTTCAAAGCTTTTCCTGATCAAGGTGTAACATGGTCCACCAGTGTGCCACACAAGCCAATCATTAATCATATCTTGTGCTTTATGAAAGATCAATAGCACTCCATCATCTGCATTCCATGGATTAGGAAAATTAAAGAGAAAAAAGGCCAAAGACCAACCAAATGGTCATGTCCTTCCCACTTGCACCAGTATGGAATTCTTCCTACTTCTTGCCTATCTCTTGAAAAGAGACAATTTTGTGCAAACCATGAATTGGTCTCTGCTAACTTCCCTTTGCATGTGGTTTTCATGGGTGCAGAACAAAGTCTACAGCTCTTCATAACTGCACATGCTTGGACTTCCCTTCCCTCCCCTGTGCTCCTTCAAGTGACAGAAGAAACAGAGATCTCTCTCCTTCCCTGTGAGCTTGACTCTCTCGACTGAAAGGCATGTGCTCCCAGACAGTCCTGGTCCTCCTCCTTGCCAGAGCTGCCTGTCCCAGTCTCCTGCTGCTGGCTTACTACTCCATAGGAGCACATGTTTCCAAAGACATATTAAAGACTCTCAAATTGGTCATGGCACCATCTACCTCCTCCTTTCTTGCTCTACCATCTCTCTCAATGGTCTATACTAAGCTCTTCCTCTTTCTCACCCCCATCCATGTGGTTTTGTTTGCCCTCCCAAACCTTCTTCCCATAGCCAAACACACTCTAGCACATTCTAGGGCCATGATGAGCTCTCAATTGTCACCACCAAGAACCTTTTGTAAGTATTCAATTAAGCAGGAGGAAAAAGAGGGCTTCAGTCCAAGCCTCACTTCCATTCACTTTAAAAATAATTAAGTTGCAGTCCCAGAAGATTAGGGGCTTTGTGCCCAGCTACTTGGTAGTAGAACTGAGATGTGGCCCCACCCTCTTGGCTACCACCTTAATGTCCTTTCTTCTGAAAAACCACCACCTGCCTTGACTTCCCTGTAACATTTGACATTGATGAATCACCTACTCTTTAATTCTTCCCTGGTCCTGCTAACAGTACATAGTCCTGATCTCCACGGATCCCTCTGATGGCTCATGACAGCTCCTTTTTCTTCTCTCGTCTCTTAAATAAATGTGGATATACCTAAAATGTCATTTTCTTCAGTAGCAGCATAATGCCTAGCAAAGATATCAATTTTATCCACCCTACCTCTTCTGTCTCCTTATACTGACAGTAGGAACACAGCATATTACAGCTGCCCTCTGACACCTAAAGACATTCTTCCTTCTCATCACCTGTAAATAAGTACCTGCCAGGTAAGGTTCAGCAGAAGGTAGGGGGTCTGGGATTGGGCTGCTTTATGTCAACTTCCAGTCTTTTTAGCACAGGACATTGTGACTTTTTAAGTCCTCATCTAATTTCATGGGACTGTTGTGAAGACTAATGAGAAATTACTGACTGAATTACTTAGAGTGGTTGGCTCACAGCATTAATGACAAATGCTCAGTAGATTTTAGTTTTCCTTCTTTTCTTACTACTTTTTTCATTATTGATGCCCATCAGGGATGATGTTAACCCTAGTCCCTCCCTAACATACCTCAGTGTCTAAGGAAGACCCACAGATGTGCAAATTGAAAGAAGAAATTAAGTTTTGGATGTGCCATGGCAAGTGCATGGAAAGGAAAAAGGGAGAGAGAAGGGAAGAATTAATTCTACCGAGAGCATCAGAAAAAGCCTCATTAAAGAGCTAAACACTGAGTCATATTTTTTCCTTCTAAGGAAAACTATACAGACCAAAGGCACGCTTTCTATCAGAGCAAGAAAAACCATTTAGAACAGAATTATCCAGACTTTGGGGTACATATGGCAACTGGTAGTGGATAAGAAACAGGGCAATA